AGCTTGTACAAAGGATTAAAAGATTGGTTTTTATTTTATTTTATTTTATTTATATTTTGAGATGGGATCTTGCTGTGTCACCCAGTCTGGAGTGCAGTGTCATGATCTTGGCTCACTACAGCCTCTGCATCCCACCTCAAGCAATCCTACTACTTCAGCCTTCCAAGCAGCTGGGACTACAGGCACACATCACCACACCTGGCTAATTTTTGTATTTTTTGTAGAGACAGGCTCTCACCATGTTGCCCAGGATGGTCTCAAATACCTGGGCTCAAGTGATCCTCCTGCCTCAGCCTCCCATAGTGCTAGGATTGCAGGTATGATCCACTGTGCCTGGTCTCCAGTTTTTATTATAGCATTAAAAGAAATAAGCCAGACAGAGATTCTATGCAGAAAGATATTTCGTGTTACAGGTTAGAACGTGAGCCATAATTCCCCTAAAACTCTGGGAATTATTTAATATCTCAAAGGAAGCCATTTAGTGAGGTCATCCAGACAGGCTCAATCCCCAGCCTGAGGCCTCACCAGAGGTACCACTGTTTGGTTAAGAGTATATTATCATGTAAAAACTAGTCTGGCATCTGAAATCTCAGTAAGCAGACCTCTTTCTATTGAATAAATGGTCCTTTTTGCTAAAATATGACATGAAAGTAAATAAATATATGTATATTTATATTTTATATACCTATATATTTATATGAATTTATATCAATTCTGGGGAAAGGAGACTAATTTCTTGATCCATGCTTTCTCCTGCTACCTCCACCACCTTGCCTGAAATTTGGAATCACCTACATTTCAATTCTTAGTCAACTGCTCATTTCGCATCTATACATATTTTTCCTGAATCATGCATTTTGACTCAAGGCCTTAAGTCACATTAGCATAGCTTTCCTTCCCCATTTCTTGTTTTCATGAAGATGAAGCATGAAGCATTTGTCTGCCTTTCTCTTCAATGGTAGTAAGGCTTCCTGACTCCTCTCTGCCTACTTTTTTCTTTTTTTTGAGTCAGAGTCTCACTCTGTCACCCAGGCCAGAGTGCAATGGTGCCATCTCGGCTTACTGCAACCTCTGGCTCCCAGGTTCAAGCAATTCTCCTGTCTCAGCTTCCCGCAGGGCTGGGATTACAGGCACATGCCGCCATGCCTGGCTAACTTTCTGTATTTTTAGTAGAGACGGGGTTTCTCCATATTCCCCAGGTTGGTCTTGAACTCCTGAGCTCAGGCAATCCACCCACCTTGGCCTCCCAAAGTGCTAGGATTATAGGTGTGAGCCACTGCCCCTGGCCTCTCTGTCTACTTTTATGAGTCGGGGCTCCAAGCTTCAAGGGTTGCAAGACATATGTTATGCCTCTTAATTTGTCTAACTCTTCTGTTGTAGTTTAATACTCTTGGGTTGTGGTCTATGGACCTATCTCTTCCTCAACTCATTTCTGGCTGTTCATGGTCACTGGAGCCAAGTATTCTTATTCGTTTAACCACGGCCTCCTAAGAGTCATACACTTCTGTACTAACTACAGGTTCCTGGGCAGACAGGTTACTCTACAGTTTCCAATAATATCAAAGAAAGAACAAAACCTAGTGACATTAGCTGACATTTTCTATGCTATCTTGGTGGCAGGAATATGAATTAGCACACGAAAGAAACAAACCAGAAGTCAAAAGTATTAACATAGTGTTAATCTCTTAGTCATAATAAAGAAATTGATGGTGAGAATAAAGAAATAGAAAGGCTGTATCATACAAATACGTAACTAAAAAATTCAAAAATGATTTCTTTAATGTAATCATCCCTCCCCAAAAGCTAATATTTTGTCCTTCCAGATTTTTTCAGGGAAATTGTCTAGTATATATTTTCATTCATGTTTGCTAGTGCTTTATTTTCTCTGGTTTAATGATATTTAGTGACTTATCTCCACCTTCAATATATTTCATAAGCCTACATGTTGCTATTTTCTTTACTCCTACATTACTTAAGAATTTCTCACCAATAAAGCAGTCTCCTCCTCCTCATTGCTTTAACTCTACTGGTACCAAGAGAAAGGTAACAGTCTATAGGACAGCTAGTTCTTAGACTTGCATTCTGGAAATACAAGAGACTTGCCAGGATTGTAGGGTACATGCATACTTCCAAAAAGAATAAAGAATTATGGTTTCTTGGCTACAGATGTGATCAGGGGGTTACACACATATTCAGCTGAAGAAACATCCCAGTTACTTGTTCTTTTATTTTTTGCCAGCAGTTAAAAAAGTAGCTTTAGAGGCGTTTCTGATTCAGTACGTCTGGGGTGAGGACTAAGAATTTGCAATTCTAACAAATGATTTGGACGCTGATGCTGTTAGTTCAGGGGCTGCACTTTGAGAACCACTGCCTATTTCAGTGGTTACATCCCCAGTTCCAGGAGACAGCACATGTATGAGCCATCACACAGTCACACTCATCTGAGGCACCTATCCCTTTTGTATTTGCTTTTCATCAGCATGGGGGAGAAAGAAGAATGCATAAAGCCGCAATGAAAGTGTACAATTAGGGGAGTAGACAGTAGCAAAGCAGAATGGCATGGTAAGGGCTTGGAAATTTTTCCTTTTATTCATATGGAGGGTGGGGTGTGATTTACGGTTTTTGGTCTTAAAGGGTACAGGAGCAGTTCTTAATCCTCACTGTGTTTCAGAATCACCTGGTGTGCCCTCAGACATTTGAATTCAGTAGGTCCTTGGATAGGATCCAGGCATCTGCATGTTTATCCAGCATCCTAGATAATTTTGAAGCAGATTTTCTAAGGATTACACTTTAATAATGATTTTAGAAGATAGAAATCCAAGTGGACACTTAATCCTACGTGGGGGAGAAATCAAAGATACTGTCAGGTATTTTCTTTTTACGAGTTGTACAGGGAAGTTTAGGCACTAAAGCAGGGGGCAGTTTATCTAATTATTTTTAAAAATAGGCAGAGAAGGAACAGAGCAGAAGATGACGGTGAAAACAGGAGGCAGTGAAGACCAAACGAGCTCTCAATTAAGAGGTGATTGCTTTTCATTTGCATGAAATGACCAAATGCAACAAGGAAGCAGTCTGGATGGAGAAATCCCTTTTAGTTATAAAGAGAGAGCTAGCAGAGAAGAATTGTTGCTTTTTAAAAAATCAGTTGTGAAAAGACAAAAAGAAGGAGGGGATGGCAAAAGGAGACCAGGTGGCAAATTGGGGAGTTAGAGCAGGAGTGGGAGTAGAGATAACCGGGTGTTAGGACATGCCATCAGCAAGGAAAATTCCAGTGGCAACAGGGCATAACATACTGCAGGTGCAGCCAATGCAGACCTGGGAATAAAACTACCCATACGTTGTCTATTCAGTCATTAAAAAGAATGAAAATACTACTCTGTATGTGTGTTTATGTGTGAATGCATGTGTGTGTGTGTATGTGTGTGTGTGTCAGAGTGTGTGTGTGTGTGTGTGTGTGTGTGAAAAAGAGAGAGAGAGAGAGAGGGAGAGAGAGAGAGAGAGACATCAGGCCAATGACAACAGTTTGGATGTCATGAGTATGTCTGAGTATTCAATTTTCTGATCAGGCATTAGGAATATCAAGGCTCTTACATTAATGACAGAAGTAACGATAGAAACCGTTGCAAGACCAGCCTTCAGAAGGCAAAAAGAGAAAGACATAATATGCACATATTGGGAAAAATGTTCTCCTGTCTCTGGAGCAATGTAGCAGAGTCTTGATTTTAGTCCACCTGCGTGCATACATATATGTATATACAAGATTCGGTTTTTACAACTACTTCATGTCCTTTAGTTCCCTCCAAACTGAAACGTTCATTTGATTTCAAATCTTTCCTTTAAATGCTTCTTTTTTCATATGCAATATCTTTCTTTTTCCTTCCCTAACTGAACCCTAGCTTCAGAACCCTAAGATTTTCCCTGAATATTTCTAAGTTCTCTGGCCTTTTCTGTCTCTGAATTTAAATCATAGGCAAGGATTATCTTCTATGCACAGTTCACCCTCTACTATTCTGAGCTCAAGCCCAAAAACACTGTATTCTAGAAGTTCTAAGTAAATTATTGTTCAGTGAATTAATTAAGAAAATACAGGTTGAATCCTCTGGTGATGGATACTCTTGGCTTCCTACCTGGCATCCTTCCCATTCCACTCTTTCCCGTCACAGAATATCCACTGGTTGGTGGGGATGACTCCACCCCCTAGCTCCAGGAATAGGCCTTGATTGCCTTAACCAGTCAGTGGAATTCCTCCCCTCTATCTACAGTGATTGGTTTAGGCATAGGCCTGGTCCAATGAGAATGAAGCTCAGAACTTTTGCTCTGTAGTCGGGAGAAGTTCTCTCTCATAGTGGACGGTGTGGGGTGCAGATGTGATTACTACAATTGCTGCAGTTAGCTAATGTAAGGGAAGCCTGCTTGAGGATAAAGCCAACACCCAGAAGGCAGAGCATCATTTAGAATGGGAGTTGGAAGTCTGGTGAAATCATGCTGAAGCCATGACTACCTCTGGAGGGTACAGTCCTTTGAGCCAATATATTTCCTTTATGGTTTAAGCCAGAAAATGAGGTTATCTATTACTAACCTCCCTGGTATTTATGGAGTTCCCTCTATTTTTAAATCTTTGGGACACTATGTAATTCATCTTCTTGCAACTTAATTCATTTAGGAAAACAGCTCTCTTGGATAGCATTGTCTCCCCTAGTAAAATCAGTACATATTTTGCTGTTTATGCTGAATCTAACACAAGTCATGTTCACAACAGCTAAAATAATAAATTTCAGAACTGTTGCTACCCTAATTTTTGCTCAAAACAATTAGTGTTCTTATATACTTACATAGTACTGATATAGACTTCTTATTAATATATATAGCAAACATTTCCTGAACATTTAAATTCATTCTAATTGCATATAGGTAGGCATATGGTGTATATGGGCACTTTGTCAAAGATTAGCTTTCGTTCAACATTTCTCAGTGTTTTTGGCACTATTAAATATAGATACCTTTTCGATGAAACTGAAGAGACCCCAGCAGACATATGGATTTTAGCATCTCTGTGGTATACATTTCTAAGCAGCACTGCAGCTGGATGTAAAGCCGACAGATTTCTGGATGAATCTCACCATCTTCTGGGCTGCAAGAGAATGAAAGAGAAAAGCTGTGAACATTCTCATATTTCACTCATCAGCCATTTGTCTCAGCTCCGAGAGGGAAAAATGCTCAATAAAGATTCCCTAAAGCCTTGATCCTAAAATATAGGACTTCCTGCTTTCAAACCATTGACCAATGTGACAATTCTTATATAAGTGTCTTTCTGACTAACAGTTCTTAATTTTTACCCCCTTCAGCAGCAGAGTTCTGCTGGGAGCTTAAAATCATAAATGCTTTACATAATTGAAGATATCAGACATCTTCAATTTAGCTGTTGGAACAAATTCCAAAATATATTTAAACCGTAAGAATCTCCTAGCCTGCAAGAAGAGATTAAAAAGACTTGTTTTTAGAGAAACTGACAAGAGCAATTCAATTACCAGTTGTAAGTCAGCTCTTTAATATTAGGGCCTTGGTATAATATGATTAGAGAGCAATTTACAAATTATTTTTATCAAGATTTTTTGTCTCAGTCTAAAAGATCTTCCTTTATTGTTTGCTATGGCTAATTTATGAAAGACCAAATGTTTTTTAATGAAAAAATAAAAATTTTATGAAAAAAGAAAAGTAATAAAATTCTGTTAATTATGCTTAACAATCTAAAGCTATATACATTGAACTTATGATCTAAAATTTATTCTAAAGTCCTTGTGTCTTTCTCTATTAAATATGATAAAACATATATAATGTGAATATGATAAAACAGGAAGTGATCGCTTTTGTTTTTGTTTAAGGAGAGAAAAATCAGTTGTTGATAAAATAATACTCTATGTGACTAACTTGTTGAATAAAGTAAATCAAATAAAAGGGATAAAGTTTAGAGAGAGTGTAGAAATAAAAGAAAAACTAAAAGTGAACTCTATCAAATGTCTTAATGAGTTAAGTTTACTGCTATCCCTATTAATTTAAAATGCAATGAAGTCTGGTTTTTAAATATAGCATTTGTATTTGATTTCTTTGTAATGTGGGTCAGTGGCAAAATATCAGGAGGTAATTATCAGATAAAAATAGTGGCTTCAAGTTCTGGAATCACAGTAAAGAGAATTTATGTGTACACAGCACTTTACAATGATAATTAGTTTTCATTTTCAATAGATGAGCAAGAGTTGATCCAACCATATGGCTTATATAACACAAGAAAATGCAAAATTCTTAGCCTCAGTATCAATGATGCCTGCACGTGTCTTTCCTGTGTCAGACAGAATAAAGTATCTCAAAAGAGCTTTCATGCAAAATTTGGCTTTATCTGAAAATTAAAAGATGTAATTTTTTCATTTGTGTCTCATGAGTGACACCCTAGACCAACATTGGAAGCAAATGTGTCTCTGGGGAAAGTATCAGGTTTTTTTTCAGAGTGTTCTCCCATATTTGCCTTCCACCCTCAAGCTGTCCTCCTACAACCTGGAGTTTCTCCCATACCACCCCACTCAGACATACCCAGACACACACACACACACACACACACACACACACACACACACACACACATACACACCCCTCTGATTATTTCATATCATCTTCAGCCTGTCAAAATGTCTCTGACTGTGTCCTATTCCCTCATGGACCTGCTAGATTCTGAACAGATAATGGGCATTAATGGTTCATGTAATAAAAATTGATCGTTGTATATTATCTACTAATACATTGATTTTCAGAGCAGAATCTGAAGATAATGTCTTAATCTACAAGAAGGGTAAAGGGAAAATATTTTAAGGCAGACAGGTCTTTTCTATTTTGGTTCATCATCCCAACATCAGCTGCCTATTTTCACCTACAGATATCATTGGCCTTGGTGGCTCACAGGCAGTTATTTTTTTTAATTTAATTTTATTTTTAATGGATATATAATAATTGTACATACTGTGGTATACAATATGATGTTTTGATACATGTGCATATTGTATAATCATCAAATCAGAGTAGTTGTCAGATCCATTACCTCAAATATTTATCATTTCTTTGTGGTGAGAACATTCAGAATACTCTCTTCTAGTTATTTTGAAATATAAAATACATTATGGTTAACTATAGTCACCCTACTTACTGTGCAATAGAATATCAGAACTTACTCCTTTTATCTAACTGTAACGTTGAAGAATACAAAATGCTACACAAATTTGCATGTCATCCTTGCTTAGGGGCCACGGTAATCTTTTCTGTATCATTTCAATTTTAGTGTATATGATGCTGAACACTCATTTGCAGATTTAAAAAAAAAACAAAAAAATCTGTTGTATGTATTGCACATTTTATGAGTGTGACAATTAGCCAGTACAGTAGCATCCAAGCCATGGAACGTTCTTATTTTCAGAAGTCTAAAATATGTGCCTCATGGCTTAGTTTCAAAAATATGCAAACTTCATATATAGATGACATTTTATGTAATTTAAACAAATGACTACCATATTAACATATTTTAAGAACCAGTATATTTTGTTTATTATTTCATAGCTAGAAAAAGAGAGGTAAAGCATGTATTAGGTGCTTCTGAGAAAAGGCAAGTCAAAACAGATTTAAATGCCTAATTAAAAACATTTATTTGGGTGCCATCTCCCAAATGCCTCTAACTCACAGAGATTCTGGAAACTAGACCCCTCAAAAATGTTGCAAGAAGGAACTGAATAGATGCCACCAGAAATTCAACCTGCCTAAAAAAATGAATTGATACTAAAGTTTCATCATACATTTTCTGGGTAACAAAGTCATATACACACTCATATGTTATCTTTTAATGTCTAGGGAAACTGCAATATAGCAAAAGAAAGGAAGTATTTAAAGAAGAGTGGAAAAGCTAAGGTATCTTTTATGTTAGAGTTTCATGATGCCTAGACTAAGTTACATTAACCTCAGGCTTTGTACAATTTATTTATCCCTCTTTAGAGCTTTAATATTTATTACCATTAGTGATTACCGAAAGTTCATTGAAACACAATTTGTCAAACGAGTTATAATACATCTGATGTTATAAGCAGTGAACTGAAATACATTTTTGAGAAATATTAAGAGCATTTGCATTATTTTAATAACAAATGAGTAAGAGTTGAATCATGGAGCATGAAAGAAGAGCTAAGAAAATAGGAATAAAAGCTTGAAACTTCCTAGGAATAAATTACAAGAATTAAGGAAACATTTACATTAAAATGAAATTGGACCTGTGTAATTCCTACAGGAACTGGAAGCAACTTAACGTAGAGGCAATTTTACCATATGTTACTTATGTTTAGTCTAACACAATTCACTCTAGTTAATTGGAGTTTAGGTCGAAAGTCACCCCGAGGGTGATTCATTTAATTCAGTCAAATATGTTTTATGAGTTAGTGATTAGATTGTGATTATTTATTTTTCTATTGAGTGTAAGTCAAGAGCTAAGCTAATCATTTTGATTAATTTCAAAGCCTTAGTATTAATAGAAAAAACCCTAAGAACTAAATTCAACAAAATTTCAGTGCTTTAGAGCTCAAGTTGAATCCAAAACCATTTAAAATAATGACCAAATTATAAATCTACTTTCAACCAACTCCTTACAGATCAGGATTTAATGACTGTATCATATGGCTTAGGACACCTGAACTGCTGTAGGAGGAGGACGACATGAATACAGACTTTGTCTAAGTTGCCTCTTGATAATGGAAACTCTCTCTATTGTTAGTATTATTATTTTGTAGTTCAAAAAGTAATATGATAAAGGCCTGCCAGAATGGCTAACTGTAAAAAGACTCATAATGCCTAATGTTGGTGGTGATGTGGAGCAACAGAAATGCTCATACATTTCTGGTGGGAATTAAATGGTCTACAACACCTTTGAAAAAAGTTCTGGAAGTTTCTTATAAAGCTAAACATATACCCATCCTATGACCTCGCATTTCTATTTCTAGGTATTTGGCCAAGAGAAATAAAAACATATTCACAAATAGAGTTCTGCAAGAATATTCATTGTATTTTATTTAGATTAATCCCAAACTAGAAACAGCCCAGGTGTCTGTCAAGAAAAAAAATGGTTAAAGAAATTAGTACACTTCTACAATAAAATAATACTCAGTAATTAAATGAAGCTAACTCCTGATCCTCAAAATGACATAGATTAATCACAAAAGCATAATCTTGAATGAGAAAATCCTTACACAAAAGAATAAGTACTGCATTATTTCATTCATAGAGGCTCTAGAACAGGTAAAATGAATGGTAAATATTACAACAGTGGTGGGGAATTGGCTGAGAAGGAGCATAAGTGAACTTTCTGGGGTAAGGGTGATATTCTGTATCTAGGTGGAGGCTTAGTTACACGGGTGTATACATTTGGCAAAATGTATTGAATGGTACACTTAAGATTTGCATTTGATCGCATGCAAATTTTACTTGAAAAAAGAAATAAAATCCAATATTGAACTCAGTTAATACTATGTATGCTGAATTGTTTACAAGTAAAGTTTACTGATGTCTACAGGTTTAGGAAAATAATATGGATTGCTGGTTGGACAGAGAGATAACACAGGTAGATACGTAATAAATTAAGTATCATAAAATGCTAATTATAGAATCTAGGGAGTGGATATTTACTTGATGACTGAGGATTTACATTTCCCTAAATAATTATATGGGGTAAATTAATCAAAACAACTGCGAGGCTTTATAATTGGAAGGGTCAAGATCAGGAGCTAACACACTGGGGATTTTAGTTACGAAATGTCTTGGCTCTGCAGCTGTCTGCTCTTTTGCTGAGGTTGCCAGACTTTAGAGGCCTATGTAGTGGCTAATAGCTTTTTAAAAACAGCAAAGTGTTTGTGGTTTTAATAATCTGTCCCTAATGTAATGATGTATGTATTTAGTTGAATGGAGTAAGACATAATGAAAGGAAAATGAGTCCTGGAGTCAGAAAACTTAGATTTAAATATAGGTTTGCCCCTTAGAATTGTCATCTTCAGAAAACTACTTTAACTTCTCTGAGACTCAGTTTTCTTAGCTGTGAAATTGGAATAACACCTA